CGTTCAGATGACGAGAAAATATGCTTGTCCAACATCCGTCTCGATCAAATTTAACCGCGATCAAAAAGGATCAACCGGGATTGATCGGCCTGATGTTGCCATTCCCCAAACAAAGTTCGAGTAATGATTTGAGCAATGAATCTGTTCCATTGTTCAGATCGTTTCGAGTGGTTTGAGGTCTCAGACCTACAAAGATCCTAAACTCAAACAAAATTGTAAGACAACCATTGTACCACAAACCTACCTCTGATCACTCCCAAGCACGATGAGCTACAGATATGTACCGAGCGGCTTCGTGAAGACACCAAAATGTATCGATTTATATCGTAAAGGAGAGAAACAGACGCGTCTTTCTCATGGTTATATTAGGATGACTGTTCATACAAGAACGCGGAACATGCGCCCGTCTCAAAGCATGGATCAAAGCAACGGCCGCGGAGACTATTCGGAGCCGAGCACGTGGCAGGCAAGGGACCTCAAAATTGTTGCCGTCTGCCTTTTGCCATGAAGCGCTCGACTCTCATTCGTCCATCTCCCAACAAATACCTCTCTTATTTTACCCTTTAAAATGGTGCGCACAATCATGCTAACATGGAAGGAAACAAATTTGACTTATAAAATTGATAGAGCGACGACGGATATGGTGGTGGTTACGGAGGTGATGATGGTGATGGCGGGTGGGTTGCCAAGTTTGCGTGTACATTACCCTCTAACGGCTCTCCAGCTTCGGCGGAGAAGATGGCTTCTATGTAAGAACCTAAGACTACGGATCCAGTTATTTTCTGATATCTCAAATTAGGAAGAAGATGCCGATCTTCTCCAGACGACAATGATGGATGATGATGCCACAGGGGATCCGTTGAACCCCACAGACTTGAACGGAGACGGCCTCATGGGGGATACGGGGGAGGAAAAGCCTCGAGTCAGTCCTCTTACTGAGAGCATGGATGTTTGTTTTGACGCATTCCCTAGATCAATGGTGTTTCCGGTGATCAACATCCTGCCGAGGATCGACCTAGTCATGTTGGGCGAACTGGTGGGGCTCGAGTTGAAGAACATCGAGAGGCAAACAAGGAGAGGATAACGACGCCGTATATGACTAAGTATGAACGGGCGCGGATCCTTGGCACGCGGGCATTACAGCTCAGGTGAGCAGGTTGGACAACGAAAGTTAATCACCATCTGAGTGCCTTGCAGTATGAACGCGCCTGCCCTTGTGAATACAGAAGGAGAGACAGACCCCCTGCAAATCGCCATCAAAGAGCTCGCAGAGAAGAAGATTCCTCTGGTCATTCGTCGCTATCTTCCGGATGGCAGTTTCGAGGATTGGAAAGTGACCGAATTGGAGACATACTGATTCGCGAGAGTGATGAGTGTACAAAAGGATACAGGGTAAGTTGCACACTGCGGTCTAAAACCCAATAGGAGATACTGAATTCTGCTCAGGATCTGTGTTCACACGCAACACTTTCACCCATTCTCGATAGTTGAAGTTACCTTGCCTATCTGTAAACGGCCCTTTCAAGAGGCGATCAATCTGTAATTTACTGCATTAACACCACGTATTATCTCTGCTTGATGGTGTTACGCACCTCGCGCTCATCCATCTTATCCCCAACGCTGCTAAGCCATTTGCGAATCTCGCTTCCCTTCACCCAGCCAGAGTCATTCTCGTCGAAGGACTCAAACGCCTCGATCAACTCTGCTTCCGGATCCAGCTCTACCAATCGCTCGCCCATCATCGTTAAGAACATTGTGAAGTTGACGCCTTTGCTCTGACCAGCAGCGCCTTGCCCAGGCCCACCAGGTCGCGCCGAAAGCAGCCCGGAGATGAGTTCTGGTGTTGGGGGTATGCCTATACTCGTACTTAGTGACACCCTTGCACGAGCCTCTCTTCATAAGACTTGCCTAATGACCCGAGTATGCCTTTGAGATCGGCCTCATCCACTACCCCATCTCCATCTTGGTCCACCAGGCCGAATGCCTCTTTGAATTGCTGGATCTGAGGGGGCGAGAAAAGAGAAAACACGCCAGAGGTTTCGCGCTTGCCTTTTGCTACTTGGAGAGTCGTTGGACGGCCGTGAGACAGAGCTGATGCCATAACAGCAGTGGGAGACGTGAGGTACTTGTTCGTGTTGAATGCTGTTAGGCGCGCACCCAACAGCGCGCAGGGCGCGTATGGGAGCACGTGAATATACTTCCGTCCTCTGTGAAACTACGACCACCAGCCCTCAAGAGTCGTACATAGCGCTTCAGGCGTCATTGGCATTGCACATCATGGCAGAGGTGAGAATATGCCTTACGCGCGTGTGGATAAGTGGAAGCTGATTGTAATCAATAGGATCGCGATGAAGCGAGCTTCTTTAGCTCACTGGCCGGCTTTTCGCTTGGCTCGGTGCTGTCCGAGATGGAGGTGAACACCTCAGGACTTTCTAATCAGCTCGGGCTGCAGGGGATGGGATTTGATCTGGGAAAAGGCATTGCGGATGAGGAGCCAACAGGGCGAGATACAGGAGATGATTGGGAAGAGGAAGTCGACCGAGAGATGCGAGAAGAGGGTGCCAATGGCATGGTGGCAACGCCGGTTGGAGGCCCGAGATCAATCGACATGAAGCCGCTCATGCCGCTCGAACACATGGAGGTCATTTCCAAGAAACAAGTGGAGCCGGAGAGAAGCGTGTATGATCTCTTTCCGAGCTTCAGACCAGACAAGGTGTTGCCGTTCACGGAAATCTTCGCTAGCAAACCCGTACGGAAGCGACATTACCCCACACGAACTGCAACGAGTGAGTAGACCTTTGATCATGCATAGGGAGACGCTGACATGTGTTCTAGTTGAGCTAGTTACTGGTCCACCTTCACCACCTCCTGGGCCTGAGACCGGCAATGCGTCGAAACCTGGCCCAGGACAACGGAATCTTCTCTCGGAGGACTTGTTCGACATCATCCAACCCGTATTACCACGTAAACGAGCAGAATGGGAGACGGAAGGTTCCATTGATGATACCTTGCGGAGAGCGATATTGGTATGTTGTGATGTTCCAAGCCCTGTAGTCTGTACTGACGAGTTCCGCATACAGAAACGTCGAAAGCTTGGAGAAGAGCTATTTGATCTTGACATGGTGGAAGATGTGTTTGATCCGGTGATGATAGCGCCATGGGAGAAAGATATCATGTGGAAGCCGTAAGCAACTGCGCATATATCTGAGAACAGGCAGCTCATTACAACCAGACCTAACAAAGCACACGTGAAGCATACCGACCAAGACGACAGTCAGCCTCACTACCCTGAGTACAATGCTTGGCTCGACAGTGATGACTGGGCGAAGTCCATTATGTGGACTCCATCGACACTATTCAAACCTTTCTTGGCACCGCCGAAACCGGTAGCTGTTGCAGAGAAACACGAGCAACCAACCGCCCCTATCCCGCAACCGCTATCTCGTAAAGCTCGTCTGCAACAGAGCATCATTTCAAATCGAGCCGCACAACAAGTCAAAGACAAGTTTAATTTGTCTAACGACCACATGTATGAGACTTTGCACGGAAGAGGCGTGCAGAGAGGTGTGAGGCAGACATTCGGAAACCTGGAAGTGCAACATGCATATCCCGCACAAAAGCTTCAGCTGCCATTCGTACGTGCTCGTTTAGTCAGAGGAGGATGTTCTGATCCCTGGCACAGTTCAAAACACGCCTTGGAAAGAGCGAAGCTCGCGCTTGGCATCGCCCAGCTTTATTGTTCCCGACGGATATGGAGCTTCGCTTTTCCCGCGTACGCAAACGCGACAAGGACAAGAGCAAGCGGAACAAGGGCGAAGGTCAGGAAATGCGTAGGACGTCAGATCTCACGCTGAAAGATGGGTCGAATTACCTGCTATGGGAATTTTCCGTGAGCATCTCCGTCGCAACAATGAGCTACACTTTCTTATGCTCTAGTAGGAGGAGTTTCCTCCTATTATGTCCTCCATCGGCATGGGTGCTATTCTTGTCAATTACTACCGAAAGCGTACCGAAGGCGACGACCATGTACCGAAAGCCGACGTTGGTGTTGCATTTGTCCTGGAACCCAAGGATGAGTCGCCGTTCCTTAAATTTGGCTCAGCTGAGCCGGGTCAGATGGTCCCCACGCTGTATAATAACCTCATCCGGGCACCCTTGTTCCGACATAAACCATACGCTACAGATTTTCTTGTTGTTCGGTACGTCAACAGCCTCCTGAGCTGAGCGAGTCGCTTATTGCACGGCTACAGGAGCACTCAAAATGGGGAGACAAAATATTTCCTCCGGGAAATCAAAAACCTTTTCGTAGTCGGTCAGACGTATCCTGTAGTTCCCGTGCCTGGACCACACTCCCGAGCCATAACGACTACCATCAAAAAGCGCCTCGAGGGTATTGTCTACCGGCTGCTCAAGAAAAGCAAGCAGGAGCGCATTAAGATCAGCCGGTTGATGAAGTATTTCCCGGACCAAAACGAGCTGCAAATGAGAGGACGACTCAAAGAGCTCATGGAGTATAATCGACGCGGCGAGCACCAGGGATATTGGCGACTCAAGTCTAAGCACACTCTGCTGCCCGATAGCGAGATCATCGCACTGGTCACGCCGGAGAGTGTCGTTCTCTGCGAAGCGATGCAGGTTGGTCAGCGGCATCTACTAGATGCTGGGTACGGCCAAGCCGCAGACGGTGCGGGCGAGGAAGCGGAAGCAGGGGAGGGGGAAGATGGGGAAGGTATGGGCATCGAACAGCAGCTTGCGCCCTGGATCGCGACGAAGAACTTTATAAACGCGACGCAGAACAAGGCAATGCTCAAACTGCATGGGGAGGGTGACCCTACAGGAAGAGGGGAGGCGTTCAGCTTCGTGAGGGTCTCCATGAAGGAGATATTCATCCGCGCGGGAGAGGATGCGCAGGAGAAAATTGGTGCGTTTCAACTTTCGAAGTGTCTAGAACCGTTAGTGACCATCTTCAGCTGAGGCCAATGCACGACCCAAGAATGCCCATCGGTACAACGTACAGCAGCAACAGCAAATCTACCGCTCTGAAATCGAACGTATCTGGAAAGCCCAATATGACTCCCTTTCGTCCAAGATCGAGCCTGATCTAGATGTGGAAGAAGAAGAGCCCATGCGGGGCTCTCGCCAGCCCTCAGTGGGGTACTCCGCCCCGAAACCGATCACATTCCGTGATGAACGGCAGTTCCCTACGGCACATACGGCCTTCTCCCCGCCTGTCCGTTCTCCTCTCGCTGCTGGACCATCCTATGTGCGCGGTGCGTCGGAATACAGCCGAGGCTCTAGCGCCGATCTCGAACGGGATATGGAGGACGACATGCTCAGCCAGGGCGGGGTAGCTGCCAACCAAGCAAGCGCAAATCGGGTTCTGCGAATTCGTAGGATGCAGCCAGACGGTAGCTGGAAGACTGAGATCGTACGAGACGAAAACGTGATCAACGTCTATATCCGCGCGCGCAGAAATATCGAGGAAGAGAATATGATGCCCGACGTTGCTCTCCCCACTGGAGACGCGACGACGGATACCCGGATGCGCAAGCGGCTTGAAGCTGAGATCAGCAGAATGAAGCGGAACCAAGAACGGCGGTTGACTAGGAAGAACCAGAGTCTAGTCAAGTCTGGAGGGCGGCCAATCCAGCTCGACCGGCCTGCCAAAGCGGACACTTCTCGCCGGTGTGGCAACTGCGGGCAGATAGGACACATGAAGACGAATCGAAAATGTCCGCGGTACGCAGAGTTCAATCCTGTGCCAACAACCGCGACGCCCATAGCTGCCAGCCCACCTGCGGCGCATGCGGCGTTCCCGAGCTTCTCTACGCCGGGGTTGGCAAGGCAGGCCAGTGCATTTGGGTTCCCGAATGTGAGCAGTCCGTTGGCGACGAGTCCCCCGCTGGTGAGGGATCATGCGGAGAGCCCGGGAGCAAGACCGCCAAAGTTAAAGATTACAATCAAGAATAAGACGTAGGGGGGGAAGAGGAGGGTGTGTATCATTAGAGACATTGTTGTATTATCCTGTACTCTAGTCCTCGGGCAACCCCATGGATAAACGTGTCCCTTCCATAAAGCTTAAGCGCCCGATCCCTCGTTACCCTGTCCCAACCACTGAGGTACCTCATCTGGTCAACATTACGATCTGAGACATTGTTGCTTCCGTTTTGATTTGAATGGAAATAAGGTTTGTAAAATGATCCCGATAGAAGACTAACACCGCCACCCCTCATGATTAGGGTTCCACGGGAGAATTCCACATACATGACAACGGCCGAAGTGTATTTCCTTGTCCTCTTGCCTCTGTTCCTGGTCATTACTTTGCTTACTTTTTGTCTGTTCATTGTCTGCGAATTGGTGCAACTTGGACTGCTTTTCTCTATCTGCCTCTCATGTCTACCTCTGACGCTCTCTAACGTCCTCTACGTTCAACACTTCTTACGCCAACAACGAGGAAGCACGCAATCAGCCGACGTGTAGACGACAGCACCGCGCGAAACGCCGTCCTTCTCTGATCAGTTCACCGTCGCGCTCCCTCAGTGTCTATTCGCCCTTTGTGCAGATGGTTCTCTCCGCTTTGCAAGCTTCACAACCACCCCAAGCAATACAAGACACCATTAGGAGTACTAGCACCACCACTAGCGATAGAAGCAGTCAGAGTCTTTCCCGAACGCACAACCGTAAGAAGCGATCTCCTCGGTCGTCGTCGACCTCCAGCTCCCAGCCGTCCACTCAGCCTAGCGAGATCTTCGACCACGACCACGGCATGATCTCGCCGAGCACGTCTGTACCCGTGTCGGATGGGTATGAGGAGGAGATTGGGAAAGGGCAGATGCTGAGGGTCGATATCGATGGGCTGGAGGAAGAAGATGACTTCGACGATGACACGAACCGGGTTACGCTCACGTCAACACTCACTGCACGCCCTATGCCCGGAGCAGCTGTCCCCCCCATGCGGCTCGCAAAGCTTGCCAACGCGTTCGGGGTCAGCACTCCCCTCCCTCCGTTAGGCGACGCGCACTCCCCACACCAGTTCGGATTCGCACCTGTTCCTCCCCATTCGCCGCACTCTAACCCCAACCCACACGCACACGGTCATTCGAGATCAACGGCAACCCGTTTCCTTATCCACGTCATTCCCCCGCTATCGCTCGCACCCGACCCGTCTGCCGAAGCCCAGCTGAAACGAGGTGCTCTCGTCCCACTGCACTCGACTCTCAAAGGCCAGCTAGGTGCTGTAGCGCGCGAATACAAACTCCCAAGCACGAGTGGGATGCTTTTTTTTCTCTTATCTGAAGATCCGGAGACGGGCGCCTCGGGGATGGCAGGACCGAGGATATCAGACGACGCGTGGCGCCTTCTTTGGCAGCCACTGCTGCGTATGGAGCGAGAGGAGCTTGCTGCCGCTTTGACTTCCCCGAGGAGCGCCAGCGTCGCTTCACACCTCCCTCCGCACTCTCACTCCCCAGTACCAAGCCCCCCGAATACGCTGCGCGACAGCCCAGTTGATGACAGCGCCGTCACCTCACCCAGCGCCAGCATTTCGAGCGACCTCGCGCATGCGCAGGGACAAGTACTCAGACCGCTGAACACTGGTGCCGGTGCCGGCATGGGGCCTTCACCGCGTCGACAAGCCTTCCCTTTCGGCTCTGGCCGGCCCTCCCCTCTCGACTCCCACCACCCCTCCGGTCCAGGAAGCGACATCCCCGAACCAAGAATACGACAAGATAGCCTCGCCTCTCTCGCTTCCACAGCCTCCTCCCACCCCTCTCGGCCTCCCTATCCCTCACGCGCGGCGTACCTCTCCCGGCCCAGCACCTCCCTCTCCCTCTCCGTCCCTTCCCCTATAGTCGGCAAAGTAGAATTCGACATCGACCGATCCAAAGCTGGGTGGTTCGACCTCTGGCTTGCGCGTACCCGAGGCGGTAGTCAGTCTGCTGCGCCTTCCCCCAGCCCTGGAGTCAGGGGAGGGCCATTACCGCTGATGCTCCCCTCCCGAGCTAACTCGAGAGCCACTTCCAGGAGTCCGAGATCGCCGTTGTTCCGCTTGGACGGGGACTCGCCACTTCCTAGCGCGGGGATGTTGAGGAGCGAGGACGGGCTGTTGAGCCCTGGGAGTGGGACTGTAATGGGTGGGGTGATGCATGAACTGGAACCGGAGTTGTTCAGTCACGAGCTGGAGACGCCTGAGATGATTCTAGAGGAAGACACGGAGGAGGGGAGGGAACGGATGACGGAACCAGAGTATGTGCAGCTTGAGGATGAGGATGGGGATGCGCATGAGCAGGAAGAGGTGGAGGAAGAGGATGTGACACTCTCGCCAGAAGAGGAGGCAGAGCTGACCCTCTCCCCTGAAGAGGAGGTAGAACTCGACACCAAAGAGGTATTCGAAACCAGAGAAACTAGTGAAGAAGGGGAGATCCACACCGACGGATCGGAGGAACAAGAAGAAAAGGAGCTGGGACCGCCGACTATCCCCTTCCTTTCAATCAGTTCCGATCCTTTGGGCGACGTCTTCCCTGCCGACGGCGAAACCTGGTCCACACTGCGCAGCTCGATCTCCTCCAACGCGGCTCAGCCGGCGAATTCGCATCGCTCGTCGTTGTCTGCTGTTGGCATACAGGGCCTTGGGATAAGGATGAATGGTATGCCATATTCTCCGGCTGCTCCCGCACCCCCACCCACAAGGCCATTGCCTCCCTCTCCTGTCGATGCGGTAAGGGACGATGGAACAGACGAAGAGGGACATATGCTGGCACCGCTGGCACCGCCGAGTCCTGGACGGTTTGATGACGGGAGCGGGAGCGGAAGCGGTACAGACTGGGACAGCACGGACGATGTGGAAGATGTCGTCAGTCTGTGGAACGCGAAGCATGGGCAAAAGATGATCACTCAGGCACAGCTGAGGGAGGAGCTAAGAGACAGTTTGAGGCATCCGGTTACTGTCGTTGAGGTGAGCCGGGACGATGCTGAAGCCGATGGAAGGGAAGAAAGGATGGCGTTCAGTCCCGAACCTATACATTCGCCGGAAACGGTCACCCCTGGTGGCTCTCCACGTGAATCTATGAGGCACTCCCGCATCCCCTCGAACTCGACAGCTACCGGGGATTCTCCAGTCGGATCCGGCTCAGGGCTTTCTCCCCCAGCACCGCAGGGAAAACGCAGCGCTCCTCCCGCACCGTTGCGTCTTGCGCCAAGCCCGCATATTACCGATCGAGTCATTGACCGCGAGCCTGGTGAACGAGATTCACTCCAAGGCTTGCCCTATACTCGCTTGCAGAAGACGACGTCCCGAGCGTCCTCCAACCGGCAGAGCAGTGTTGACTCGGAAGCAGACAGTCTCAGAGCAAGCCAAATACGCATGCAGAAGGAACTGGATGATATCGAGAAGGTATGCGATATTTTCACAAGCCATCGAAGCGCAGTCACTCATCTCAGGACAGGCATATGCGCAGATATCCCCTAAGCCAGGGGGCAGCTCCTCTCTTATGGATCTGACTATATCGCCGGATCTGAGCACCAGACCCAGTCCGGCCTTTCCAGGTCTTACTGGCAAGTCAACTGGGTACTAATCTCTGATTCATCTTTCATGGAGAGTACTGATGATTAAAACAGGTTGGTGGTTGGTGGCTGGCCCGCCATTCCCGTCAGCCCAACCGTGGCTCAACAGGGTGTGGATGGCCTCATGGCTCCCGGGATTATGGGGCCCGAGGACCGTCCCTTTGCCCCTGCCACAGTATCCATCGAGACACTACAGCGCGCCCGTTCCGCCGAAGAAGAGGGCATAAATATTAGTCCGAAGGACAAGAAGGATCGCCGATCGACCAAGTCTCCATCCATCGAAAGGAACGAATCCGTGCGGAGCAGAGACTCGAGCCGCTTCTCGGAAGAATCGTCGCTAAAGGACGTCAAGACAGAGCGCAAGCGTTCGCAGTCAATCATGAGCGTGAAAAGTATCAGGCGGTTGTGGAAGAAGGGCGCGCAAGCAGGTCTGCAGGATGTTCCCGAAGCAGAGAGTCCACCGTTACCACCACCCACCCCGAAGTCCCCGATGCCGCCAAGCCCATACAGTGCAATCGATCTTACTAGTCCAAGAATATCGACTTCTTCCGCAGACAGTATTAGCGATTTCAAAGACGGCAAGCGTGACTCTGGTCTGGATCACTTCCGCTTCGACCAAGATTCCCGTCTGAGCCTCCGATCGCCTACGCCGGTTCTCCAAGCACATGCTCGAGTTCCCTCCCCCTCCCAATCCACAAACAGGACTTCGCTCAAAGCTGCCCGCACGCGAAGTGTGCTCAACAAGTGGGCTAGTCCGAAGGTACGACAACAGCCGACCAAGGAGCCCGAGGATGATGGCGGAGTCAGAATCCATGGTCGTTCAGTTCTAATATCAGCCCCTATGCACGTTATTCATGGCCAAGCTGATATTCGTGATGCACGGTTCGCAGCGACACACCGAGCTGCCCCGTCACCTCCTCAGATGTCAGGCTTCAACCCATCCGGATCGCCAACGCCCCCAATGCCCCCACCCAAATCACCGACCGTTGCACAAGACAGCACTCCGCCTGCCCGACCAATGCGAGATTCTGCTGCCCCACCCCAAGGCACGCGAGAATCACCCCCGCGGCCCACCAGGCAGACTAGCATCCGTCGCAAACCCGTGCCTGGGATGGACGAAGTCGGCGAGGATGGGCTCCTGATCACTCACTCACCCGCGTCGTCCATATCGCGCGCACATCGCACTGGTTCCATCTCTGCGTCGTTACTCAGCCAACCGGTGCAGGAAGAGCAGCAGCCAAGACCGAGCATGTCCTCCAGTACGACGGACGACCCGCTGAGCCCGACAGAGCTGTCCAACTTTGAGATAGTTACTCCTGTCGGGTACGCGCACATCCGCAGTTCGCCTGCATTCTAGATTCCTTTTTCGTTCCTTCTTGAGCTTTTTGGGGCCGTCATGACGGCTTGATTCCCGGATCCCTTCCAATGCGGTTTTTTTGCGTGTAATTTGGCTCTCTCTGGCTGGTAGATATCCCTATGCTTTATTCATCCTTGTTGTGTACAACTAGTGGGCGTAATGTTGCCCCTTCCTTCACCCGGTTCCAGGGAAGGCTGGGCGGGAAGGGACCAACAGATACAGGCAGTAGCGCGCATTCGTAATACATTTATTTTGCCACTCCAGGCAACTGCCGAACACCCATTATCCATGTCTTACCTCCTCCTTCAGAACGCATGTTCGGTAGAATCCTTGCCCATAGAAGCAGTGCTCGACGAGCCCGAGGAGACCGCTAGGAGCATCATCAGCATCCCATCCCCGTCCACCGCTCAACCAGTAGAATGACTCACTCTGCAAAATCCTATCAATATACGCCGCTCCGCTCCACTTCTGATGCGTCAGAACGTCCACCCCAAGCTCCTTCTCCCTCTTCTGTACAAGCTCTACATAAGCTAACATCCCCTCCTCCGCATAGCGTTTCGCAAGCTCATGACTCCCCAAGGCAGTTGAATGCAGCCCGGCGAGGGAGATAAGCTGCAGAACGAACCCTTCTTTCCCCAGGTCCCAGATGAAGTTCTTCAGGTCTTGGTCGCTGTACCCCGCAGCGGCCCAGTTAAAGCTCGGACTAAGGTTGTAGACAAACCATTTTCCCTCATGCGTTTTCCTGATCTCGCGCGCGTACGCTTGGGCTTCGGAAAACGAGGGTTTGCTCGTCTCGAGCCAGAGCATGTCGGCGTAAGGCGCGTACGCGGAGGCGCGGGCGATCGCCGCGGCCAGCCCGCCGGTATAGGCGTAGTACCCCTCTCTGGTGCGCGGAGCGTCCCAGTCCCAGTACACGTCTGAGCCGAGCATCGTGCGCGCTAGCAGGCGCATCTCGGTAATACTCTTGCCCTTGCTCTTTGTCTGGAACTGGGCGAAGATGGCGTCCTTCCCGCTCAGGCTGGACTCGGAGAGCGCGGTACGGGCCGCTTCCTCGAACGTGCACACAGGGTTCGCAGCATGCCATGCAGTCTCGACGGCGTCCACTTCTGCACCGGTCTTGCCGACCGCTTCGGCTTGCGCTAGGCTCTCAGCTAGACTCAGACAAGGGGCAGTGACACCTTTGACAAAAGGATGATCGAGCGGGTCGACGGTGCTACTGATAAGCCGGGCGGACTCGGCGTCTGTCCGTGCGAGGAGCAACATAGGATGCTGCAGAAGGTCAAGTTGGAAGCGGGAGGCGATTAGGCGAGAGACGTGCGTCGAGGCGGGGACAAGGGTCTTGCCTGCTTGATGCCCGCATTTTTTACCGCCATGCAGTTGGTCTTCCATGTGTATTGCCGCTGCACCCTGAGGAGATGTGGTAGCAGGTGTTAATGGGAGGAAGGGACGGACTTACAGACTCTGCGAACAGCTTGACGAGCTTCATCACGCTGCTCAGCCCTCCATGCCTGCCAACAATCAGCTCTGCTGCTCAATTGAAAGGCCGGGAGACGTACCCAGTGTCGGCATCGGCTATGATAGGCCGAAGGTAGTCTACGTAGGGCAGTTTTTCACGGTCTGAAGGGGAGGCCGTCATACGCTCGTCGTAGTGCTTCCTGTCATGCAACTGCTGAGCGCGGAAAAGGCGGTGTACCTGGTTAGGCACGGTCGTGTACGGGTAGTCGCTAGAACGATGTCAGCGTACCTGTAAGAGAACGTAAAGTGAGGGGCTCACGCCAGATCAGGCCCAACCTCGTTATTCGCCGTCGTCAACACACTCGAGCACGCCCACCCGCTGACATACACCACCTGCAACCACTTCGCAATCTGCGTCATCTGCACAGGGTCGATTGCTCCCATAGTATGCACCGGCTCTCCCTTGCCAGCGGCATTGCTAAGAATACGGAATAGTTTGTCCGCGGTCAGGGCGCCTGGGAGGGGTAGTGGTGTATGGGAACCTTGTTTACTCACGACTGAGGCAGGGGTGTATGGTCGCCTGATATGGGCAAAGCGAGGGAGAGAGAAGTATTCCTCCATGTGGGAAACACGAGACTGGAACTGGGCTTCTTCGTCCGCTACTGAGGGGGGTTGGAGGGGGAGGGAAGGGATATCGAAGGCGTGGCTGGAGGAGGTGTGGAGTGCCATTGTGCTTTGAAGTGGGAGAAGTTGGAGTCTGTGAAGGAGAGCTCCTGTGCGAGCTATCCTGGGAGTTAACATCCCTTTCCTATAGCGGAGTTCCTCGCAGTAAAGCAGAAGAAAGAGGGACAAGGAGTGAACAAAGTAACCTGCCTTGCTGGGGTTATATATTCAGCTCCAGGTGTTAGTAAGGGTCCACCCCCGCACAAAGCAATAACCGATCATTACACCCGATCCTCTCCGCGCGACCCTGGGCAAGGCGCCGCTGGTCAGAGCAAAGGCGTTGATCGAGGCGTTCGAGTCCTTCGACGAGAATGACTCTGGCTGGGTGAAGGGAAGCGAGATTCGCAAATGGCTTAGCAGCGTTGGGGATAAGATGGATGAGCGCGAGGTGCGTAACACCATCAAGCAGACATAACATGTGATGTTAATGCAGTAAATTACAGATTGATCGCCTCTTGAAAGGGCCGTTTACAGATAGGCAAGGTAACTTCAGCTATCGAGAATGGGTGAAAGTGTTGCGTATGAACACAGATCCTGAGCAGAATTCAGTATCTCCTATTGGGTTTTAGACCGTGCACCAGTGTGCAACTTACCCTGTACCCTTTTGTACACTCATTACTCTCGCGAATCAGTATGTCTCCAATTCGGTCACTTTCCAATCCTCGAAACTGCCATCCGGAAGATAGCGACGAATGACCAGAGGAATCTTCTTCTCTGCGAGCTCTTTGATGGCGATTTGCAGGGGGTCTGTCTCTCCTTCTGTATTCACAAGGGCAGGCGCGTTCATACTGCAAGGCACTCAGATGGTGATTAACTTTCGTTGTCCAACCTGCTCACCTGAGCTGTAATGCCCGTGTGCCAAGGATCCGTGCCCGCTCGTACTTAGTCATATACGGCGTCGTTATCCTCTCCTTGTTTGCCTCTCGATGTTCTTCAACTCGAGCCCCACCAGTTCGCCCAACATGACTAGGTCGATCCTCGGGAGGATGTTGATCACCGGAAACACCATTGATCTAGGGCATGCGTCAAAACAAACATCCATGCTCTCAGTGAGAGAACTGACTCGAGGTTTTTCCTCCCCCGTATCCCCCATGAGGCCCTCTCCATTCAAGTCTGTGGGGTTCAACGGATCCCCTGTTATCCATCATTGTCGTCTGGAGAAGATCGGCATCTTCTTCCTAATTTGAGATATCAGAAAATAACTGGATCCGTAGTCTTAGGTTCTTACATAGAAGCCATCTTCTCCGCCGAAGCTGGAGAGCCGTTAGAGGGTAATGTACACGCAAACTTGGCAACCCACCCGCCATCACCATCATCACCTCCGTAACCACCACCATATCCGTCGTCGCTCTATCAATTTTATAAGTCAAATTTGTTTCCTTCCATGTTAGCATGATTGTGCGCACCATTTTAAAGGGTAAAATAAGAGAGGTATTTGTTGGGAGATGGACGAATGAGAGTCGAGCGCTTCATGGCAAAAGGCAGACGGCAACAATTTTGAGGTCCCTTGCCTGCCACGTGCTCGGCTCCGAATAGTCTCCGCGGCCGTTGCTTTGATCCATGCTTTGAGACGGGCGCATGTTCCGCGTTCTTGTATGAACAGTCATCCTAATATAACCATGAGAAAGACGCGTCTGTTTCTCTCCTTTACGATATAAATCGATACATTTTGGTGTCTTCACGAAGCCGCTCGGTACATATCTGTAGCTCATCGTGCTTGGGAGTGATCAGAGGTAGGTTTGTGGGTACAATGGTTGTCTTACAATTTTGTTTGAGTTAGGGATCTTTGGTAGGTCTGAGACCTCAAACCACTCGAAACGATCTGGAACAATGGAACAGAT